GCTATCCTCCATGTTGTTTTTTGTTGTTTTTTTTAGGTGGTGTAAGAATCTAGGGTTTCCCCCCTCTTCTATTTCCATAATATTGCTCCATCTGCCTCAATATCTTCTTCTATTTCTCCCCCTTCTCCCCCTTCTATTTGGGTTTTGAAAATAGAGGTGGAAGTTGTAGTGATTAACCCTAATGAAATCTAGAAAACCCAATATGTTGTTTTAGTGATTAATATATAGGGAGAGAAGAAAACAAATTAGGGTGTGAAAACTTGGGAACACAAGCATAGATCTTTTATGCCATATATGCTCTGATTTTAGATTTGGAAGGTTGGTTATTATCCCTAATTATTTCAATTGTTGTGTTTTGATTAGTGTTTTGGCGTTTTGGTTTTAAATTTGATTTTCCTTGTGTGATCTGGGTTGTGTCTGTTTATTGCAGTCACTGTGCAATAAACAAATTGTGTCTGGTGGTGCACTTAATTTGATTAGCTTTTATGTGAAATTTTCATGGGCGATTGATTGAGCTGGGAGCACTGATCAAATAAAGGCTTTGAAGCTAGAGTGTTGCTGTTAGATCAATAGGAGAATCTAAATCGTTTCTAAACAACAATGATGCAAATCTTTTTTCATCGAGAAGAAGAAAGTTTTCCATTAACAAATTAATACATTGGCATGAATATGTACAGATTACATGGAAATTTATTGACCCCTTGATTAAAAAACTACCCAAATAATTGAAGGTATATTTGAAGTTTGTGATTATATTTGTGTACAAGCGTAATTGACATGCATTACTGATGCATGATCCTCATCTTTCTTTTTTGGGACTTTAGTAACATTATTTAAACTTCATGGCTGTTGAGAGTTACACTGTGTAATATGTTCTTTTGATCAGTTATTATTTTTTATTTTATTTTATTTTCAGGAAAGATCAGTTTTTGTTTGGGTGATTAGAAATGCATATAAGGTGTTTGAAAAAATGCATGTGAGAGATAGAAATTGGTAGTGGTGGCTGTTGGGGTGCACTACTACAAAAATAGTTAAAGATCACACTTTGACAAAAAAAAAGATCTCACTTTTATTGGAAGTGTGATAAAAAAAATTATATTGATATTTTAATCACACTTAATTTGATTGAGTATGATAATATTTATTTTTTATGTCACTTTTCAATTAAGTGTGATTATATATATATTTTTTTAATCACACTTTCTAATTAAAGTGTGATTATATATATACTACTACTTTTTAATCACACTTTTTAAGTAAGTGTGATTATATATATATTTTTTAATCACACATTTTAATTAAAGTGTGATTATATATACACAATTACTTTTTAATCACACTTTTTAAACAAGTGTGATTATATATATATTTTTTAATGACACATTCTAATTAAAGTGTGATTATTTATATATTTTTTAATCACACCTTTTTAATTAAAGTGTGATTGTATATACACTACTACTTTTTAATCACACTTTTTACGTAAGTGTGATTATATATATATTTTTTAATCATACATTCTAATTAAAGTGTGATTATTTATATATTTTATAATCACACCTTTTAATTAAAGTGTGATTATATATACACTACTACTTTTTAATCACACTTTTTAAACAAGTGTGATTATTTATATATTTTTTAATCACACCTTTTTAATTAAAGTGTGATTGTATATACACTACTACTTTTTAATCACACTTTTTAAGTAAATGTAATTATATATATATTTTTTAATCACACATTCTAATTAAAGTGTAGTTATTTATATATTTTTTAATCACGTTTTTTTAATTAAAATGTAATTATATATACACTACTACTTTTTAATTATACTTTTTAAGTAACACTACAAGAAAAGTGGGCTTATGAGACAGAACTTTTTGCGACGGCACATTTGCCGTCGCAAAAAATGTGACCTTTTGAGACGGCACAATTTGTCATCGTAAAAAATACGACTTTTTGAGATGGCACGACTTGCCGTCTCGCAAAAAAAAAAAATGTGACTTTTTGAGACGGTACAACTTGCCGTCGCGAAAAATATGCCTTTTCGAGACGGCACAACTTGTCGTTGCAAAAAAATGTGACATTTTGAGACTTCATATATATAGTTACAAAATGGTTTAAATAAATGCAATGGTATTTTTCTATCATAAAAAAAAAATTGAAAAAAACGACATCGTCTTACTCTTTTGATATAACATTTCTCTTTCATCAATTTTTTCATCTTCCTGTCTCTCTGTCTCTATCTCTGTCTCTCTTCTCTTTCTCTCTCTCACTCATCACTTTTCTCTGTCTGTCTGTCTGTCTGTCTGTCTGTCTCTCTCTCTTTCTCTTTGTGTCTCTGTCTCTCTTCTCTTTCTCTCTCTCACGCATCACTCTTCTCTGTCTGTCTCTCTTTCTTTATGTCTCTGTCTCTATCTCTCTTCTCTTTCTGTCTCTCACTCATCACTCTTCTCTGTCTGTCTGTCTCTCTTTCTCTCTGTGTCTCTCGCTCATCTCTCTTCTTTCTCTGTCTCTCTCTCGTTTATCTCTTTTTGCTATTCTCTCTCTCTCTCTCTTTGTCTATCTCTCGAGCATCTTTTGTTTCTCTTTTTTTTGTCTCTCTCTCTATCTCTCTGTCTCTCTCGTTTTTCTCTCTTCTCTCTGTCTCTCTTTCGTTAATCTCTTTTCGCTTTTTTTCTCTCTCTTTTTGTTTATCTCTTGTTCATCTCTTGTTTCTCTCTCTTTTTCTGTCTCACTCTCTCTCTATCTTTTTCTTTCTTTGTCTATCTTTATCTCTTTCTCTCTCTGTCTCTCACTCATCACTCTTCTCTTTCTCTGTCTACCTGTCTGTTTGTTTGTCTGTCTGTCTCTTTCTCCCTCACTATGTTCGCCTTGCTCACTCTCTCCCTCATCTCTTCTCTATTTATTGAGCTCCCTCTCGATTTATCGATCCAACCATGTTAGGGACCCCCAGTGGGCGGTGACCCCCAGCACCCCCACCTCCACGTGGGGGGCTGTGAGAGCAAAAGTGAAAATAAATAAATAAATAAAACTTTTTGAACCAATCAGAAAACAGTGGGGGTGGTGGGGGTCACTCCCACTGGGGGTCTAGGGCATTTTTCTTATCGATCCACTACAAGAAAATGCACTTTTAACGACCACTTTGTCTCTTTCTCGCTCATCACTTTGTCTCTATCTCTCTATCTTTCTTCTCTATCTGTCTCTCACTCATCTCTCCCTCTCACCACCCATCTTCTCTACCACATTTACCACTATTGCAAATGTCATTCCACTACCACCACTACTACCACTGTTGTCACTCCACCTCTACGATTACCATTACTACCATCATCGCCACCACTCCCCTACCACCACTACCACTACTACCACTACTACTACCATTACTTCTCCTCCACCACTGCCACTCCATCTCCTCTGTCTGTCTCTGTCTTTCTCTATGTGTCTCTGTCTCTCTTCTCTCTCTCTCACTCATCACTCTTCTCTGTCTGTCCGTCTCTCTCATTCTCTCTGTGTCTCTGTCTCTCTGTCTCTCTTCTATTTCTCTCTCTCACTCATCACTTTTCTTTGTCTGTCTGCCTCTCTGTTTTTCTCTGTATCTCTCGTCCATCTCTCTTCTCTCTATCTCTTTCATCTATCTTCTCTCTCTGTCTCTTTTCTCTCTCGCTCTCTCGTTCATCTCTTTCTGTCTCTCTCTCGTTTATCTCTTTTCGCTCTTTCTCTCTCTCTCTCTATATATATCTTTTCACCTATTTTTCGTCTTTCTTTCTTTCTTTCTTTTCTTTCTCTCTCTCACTCATCACTCTTCTCTCCCTGTCTGTCTATTTGTCTCTCTCTCTCTCTCTCTCTCTCTCTCCCCTATTGTGTTCGCGTTGCTCACTATTTCCCTTTCGTCTTCTCTATTTACTGAGCTCCCTCTCAATTTATCGATCCACTACAAGAAAATACACTTTTAGCACCACTTTGTCTCTCTCTCGCTCGCCACTCTGTCTCTCTCTCTCTCCTCTATATCTGTCTCCCACTTATCTCTCTCTCTCACCACCCATCTTCTCTACCACCTTCACTACTACTGCAAACGCCATTTCATTACCATCACTACTACCACGGTCGCCACTTCACCACTACGACTACCAGTACAATATTTTTCATTAAAATATTACCCCTACTTCTACCAAATAAAAAATAATAATATTTTTTTTTATTAAAAAAAATGAAACAAATAAATTTTCAAGCTTAATTAGTAACCAAAATAAAATAATTTTTTTTAAAAATTTTATTTTAACAAAAAATAAAAAAAAATTTGCGACGACAACCCCTATCGCAAAAAATAAATTAATTAAACAGTGTTATTTTATTGTTTTAATTTTTTTTTTTAAAAAAAAGATTTTGATTTTTCTCCCCCTCCCTTTTTTTTTCCATTCCCGCTCTGTTCCCCGCCGCCCGCCCAAAACCAAAAAACCCTAGTCTCTTTTTACCCCTCCATCTCTATCGATCGATCGACTGTTGAAGGGTTTATATGTGGAGATGAAGTTTGAGAGGCCGAGTAAGATCCAGACGATCAGTTTGCCTATGATTTTGACCCCTCCTTACAAGCATTTGATCGCTCAGGCACACAATGGTTCTGGCAAGACTACTTGTTTCGTGCCTGGCATGTTGAGCTGTGTTGATCCCAAACTCACTGCTCCTCAGGTGCTCTGTATCTGCCCTACCTGAGAATTGGCGATCCAGGTTCGTTAACATATGCAAATCTGTACATAATTTCTATTTGATCAAAGATTGAAATAGCTAACCTTTCTATGTCGCGACATGTAATTGGACCAAAGCATTACTGGTTGATCGATTTTGTTGCTTCTGGTGTTCTAAAATGTTAATATTGAAATAATTTCAAATGTGATCCTCTGAGTATATCGACGTGTTCTTGTGAATTTGTGCATTCATTTGCCTTACTTAATCACTTGTAAATGAAATATATATATATATATAATAGAATATACCTTTCGGACGAATCCCAAGCCTGTGGAAATGGCCATGGATGAGTCGGTTCTTTAACATCCCATGAGAATCCAGGCATCTTTTTTATCAAAAGAATTCCTGAATATTGATTTGTTTTCTCAATTTATTGGCTAATTTGTTGGCCCCTGATGTTGGTATTCAAAGCTAGTCCGTTGGTATTAAGGAGTGTGATTACTTTTTTACCCATGTTGCCCTAGCCCTAACTCATCAAAGTAGCAGCAGCAAAAGGGAGAGGCAAGAGAAGCTCTTCTTCTTCTTCAGATTTCCAATCTCGTACAGCAAGCTCTCTTCAAAAGCTCTTCTTCTTCTTCAGATTTTCAATCTTGTTGGTGTTGCAGGTGAGAAAAGCTAATTAATTTATTAATCTTGTTGGTGTTTAATTAATCTTCAGATTTTCTGTTCTCAGTTTAATTAATTAATCTTGTTGGTGTTTGGTGTTTCAATCTTGTTCTCAGTTTAATTAATTAATTAATTTATTTCTTTTATTTAGTTCGATTTAGTTCATCGTTGCTTGGATCTAAACTTGCATTCATCTGTGGCTTTTCTATGCTCTGTATAATAGATCTAAACTTGCATGCTTGGGTATATGTCAGATTGGGTTTTTTCTTTTTCTTTTTCCTTTTGGTTTATTTTTTAATCTGAGTCTTTCTTGGGATAATACCAGTATTTCTTTGATTATCAAGTTGTCTTTGATTCAAATTAGTTTAATTTCAGACTGTACAAGGACGAATTGGGTAGTGTTCTGATTATCAAGTTGTCTTTGATTCAAATTAGTTTAATTTCAGACTGTACAAGGACGAATTGGGTAGTGTTCTGATTATCAAGTTGTCTTTGATTCAAATTAGTTTAATTTCAGACTGTACAAGGACGAATTGGGTAGTGTTCTGATTATCAAGTTGTCTTTGATTCATATTAGTGTAATTTCAAACTGTAATTTTAGACTGGAGTCATTGGAGAATGTTGATGTTTAGGTAGTTTGTGGGGATGATTTTCGTGTCTGTCGTTTTGTAGGCTAGGTGGTGCATCATTTGTTTGGGAATATTCTTTTTATGTGTAGATTTAGATAGCAAGTTCATTGGTCTTATGGTATGTGTTGCTTGAAGATAAATAAATTATTGTAATAAACACCTCTGGAGTTTGAAATTCAGCAGATTCGAAGTTTCAGCGTAAGTTTTTGAGCTACTTTTTAAGTACTTGCAAGTTTTTCTCAGATTTCTTTTTTGTCAATGTTGCCTTTGGAATTAAAAAGTAGTTCCTTTTTTTTTTGTTTATTTTTTTTTCAAGGTTACACATACAGAAAATAAGATTGAAAATTTGGTTAGTTTCTTATTTTCCAAAACTATTAAAAAGAAATAGTAAATTGACTTCAAAATTTTTTGAGTTTTACGAACAATTTTGTAAAAGCAAGGGCAAAGAGGGCCAAATTAGATGCACAGGTGAGAGAGTATGAGAGTTGTGTTTGTTTAGAAACGTCTTGATAAATATGACAGAAAGATCTGATATAAAAATCTCTTCTAAGAAAATTTCACTTTCCTGCAATCAATTATTGCAAAAGGAAATTTTGATAATTTGAAATGGCAACTGCTAGGTGGAAGAAATGGAGGATGTGAATGATGTAATGGAATGACATATTTTTGAGCAACAATGCTAAGAACCCAAAAAATTTTACCTAAAAAAGTACTTAAAAAAAGTAATAATTGGTCCAAATTCATTCTAAATGCAAATTCCACTACATAAGAGTTGATTCTAAACTATATCATTTTTATCAGTAAATTTCTAGTTAAGTTTACTGGTCCATATGTTCATTAATTTTTTTGTAGTTCAAAGCAACATAGGGTAAATACCTGAGGGATAGGGGAGCTTATCTGGTGTCCAAGGCTCCAAACCATTTTCACAATAAGTCTCCATCTGCTTCTTCAACAAATCCACATCCCTCCATTTCTTCCACCTAGCAGTTGCCATTGCTTCCTCCATAGTATGAACATAATATGGATGTCTAGATAAAGCAGAATTTTTTTAAAGAAAAGGGAACACAATACACCTATAAATTTGAAAACATGTCGAGAGCATTTTGAATACTCCAAAGAGGCAGTGAGCAATGACAAACCAAATATCCTATCAGCCTTTACGTAAAATGTATGATAGGTTGAAGCCTTTCTTTGCTGCCATTTTCTTACAAATAAGTGCATAAGTTGTCATCTTTAAAAGTCTATGTGCAGTGACTTATTACAACATTTGCTTTTTTATTTTTTATTCACTTTTTCATTATCACTCATTACTTGGTCCCCCTCATCAATTCCTTTTTTTACCCTTTCAACATCTCTTTGCTTAACAATAATGTTAGAAGTAAAAAAATTAAACATAAAATCATGAATAGACAAAATTTATAAAACTGTTTATCTAAATCATATCTATATTTTTTTATAGGTTTGATTAACGAGTGTCTTAAGGACATTAGTTAATAATATTTAAATTGATTATACATTGAATGTTACACGTATTTCCATACATTATATACAAATATTTTAAGTTTCTTATCAAACTCACTCTACTATGGCTTTTTGGCCGTTACAATCTGTTTTATCATATTAAACACTTTCTATTATCTATTATTTGTTATACTTTTTGCGCTAACTTTAGCTGCTTATTGCTTATTCATTTTTTGTAGATGGATAATAATTATGCCACTAAGAAAAGGAGAAAGGACCTTATAGAGGAATTTGTAGCCCTCCAACATATTGTTTCATCCATTAATTATGCATGTGCTATATATATAGTGATTTTACATGCTGCATTCAAGAAGAAAGAAATTAGGTTGCAACTACCTAGATCACCTCACCCCTATGGAAAACAAATTGACCATTTGAATAGATTGGTCAATGATAGTGACATAAATTGTCATGACCAACTTCGGATGAATAGGCGTACTTTCATGCTTTTATGTGGGTTGGTGCGAAGTGTTGGATTATCTGATTCAAAGTATGTCGTTTTAGAGGAGCAAGTAGCAATGTTTTTGAATGTGATTGCACATCACACTAAGAACCGCAAAATTAAATTTAATTTCATGCGGAGTGGTCAAACAGTTAGTAAGCACTTCAATAATGTTCTGAAGGCTGTGTTGCACCTCTATGGTCTCCTTCTTAAGAAGCCTGAACCGATAACTGCTAATTGTACAGATAATAGGTGGAGTTGTTTTCAGGTACAATATATTTACAATTTCGCTTAATTAGCATATTATATTTTTGTATTACCTATATTAATTTTATAAATTTTTTTTTTTAGAATTGTCTTGGTGCTTTAGATGGAACCTATGTTAAGGTTCTTGCCCCTGTAATAGACAAACCAAGGTATAGAACAAGAAAGGGAGAAATTGCCACAAATGTATTGGGTGTGTGCTCCCAAGACATGCAATTCATATATGTCTTGCCTGGATGGGAAGGATCTGCTTCTGACTCTAGGGTACTTAGAGATGCTGTCAGTAAACCCAATGGGTTAAAAGTTCCTACTGGTATGATAATTATATATTGTTTTATATATATATATATATATATATAAGTACACTATATCTATATTAAATAATTATTTTGTTATATACATAGTGAAACCATCTTACATAATTACAGGCCACTACTATCTCGTAGATGCGGGTTACACAAATGGGGAGGGTTTTCTTGCACCATATAGAGGACAACGTTACCATCTTTCCACATGGAGAGAAGAGGGTGCCCCAACAACTCCACAAGAGCTTTTTAACATAAGCCACTCTTCTGCTCGTAACGTCATTGAGAGGTGTTTTGGACTACTTAAAATGAGGTGGGCAATATTGAGGACTTATTCTTACTTTCCAATCAAGACTCAATTTCGTATTATCACTGCATGTTGCCTTCTCCACAATCTCATACAACGTGAAATGCCTATGGATCTTGATGATAATGAGAACGAGGAAACGAATCCTCCTCCTCCAGCTACTGAATTAGGAGATGAAATAATTGACGTTGTTGAAGCATCTGATCAATGGAGTGAATGGAGAACTGCCTTGGCAACCCAAATGTTTAATGAATGGCAAGCAAGCAGAGGTCAATAAATTAGTATTGTATGATGTTTTTTTATGTAATAGTGAGAGTTTATTATGCCATGTAATTCGAACCTTATTTGTTTAGTTTTTGTGTGGTATTTGTAACAAATGTTGTGTAAGTTGATTTGTTATTTATGATTGACATGTGTGTTATGATTTAAACTTATGATATACATATATATAGGTATGGATGACACAGGTACCACTAGTTCTCGTAAGAAGGCGAAACCTCGAAGGTTTTGGAATCACCGTGAGGAAGTATTCCTCATTATAACCATGAAGGATGTAATAGCAAGTAATCCCAGGTGGAAGCTTGATAATAATCAGTTTAGGGCAGGCTTCTACAATGAATGTGAGAAGAAGATCTTAAGTGCATTTCCTGGAACTGATCTTCGAGTTGGGCTAGTTTTTGTAACTTGGTAGTATAAAATCTGTAGTTCATGTATTATTGTTGTTATGCAACAAGGCATGGAACTATAAATATTATAGTTCATATATTATTGTTGTCATAGATCTTACTGCTGTTCCCCAATTAAGTAATGCGTTTTGCTCACAGATTTCAAAAGTGTGTGAATAAATTCAAACTCATTGAGGGTGGTTTAATTTCAAATGTTGTTGAGTGGTTATGGAATGAATGAGCCAATTAATTTCAAGGGAGAACAATTTGTTGTAAAATTGAATTGCATTGGGATTATTTCATTTTTTAAACTGTTATTGTCTTAGATTGAGCCACCTTTTTATGCAAATAAATCTGAAAACAACACAGTATATAGCCGATGGAACAATTGAAAACAGCTCCAAAACTTCAAAATCAACCTCTTAGAACCTCAGTAGCTAAGTGAAGGTGAAACACTAGGTGTTTGTGTGCAATAGTATGGACTAAACACACTAAAACACACACAAGAGGGAAAAAGAGAGATAGAATCTGTATCTAACCCTAACCCTAGAACTCAAACCCTAACAATGGCTGTCTAAGCTCTCAAAATATCTTAAATGTCTAACCTCCCAAGCCAAGAGACACCCTCTCTCTCTATATGGCACTTCTTGTCTTGTAAAGCTTACAAGACAAGCTTCATAAGAGGGAGATCCCTCCATACATATGGAGGGGAGCAAAAGCAAGATAGCTGTCTTAAAATATCTGCAAAAGAAGATGCATAGTAATCGGCCGGCCAAAAATGCCATCTTGGCCAAAAAGAGTGCCGGCCGGCACTAAATAGTGCTGACCGGCAACAAATAGCGCCGGCCGGCAATATACATTGCCGGTGGTAGCAAAAACCAGCCGGTGGCCTCTAGCCACTGCCGGTGATGGGTGGGGATGGTCCACAAGCCCTACCCTGCCCTTCCAAGGCAAAACACAAGTGTTTGGTGCAAAACCAGACACTAAACAGTCAAGTTCGGAGATCCTGAGGCAAGGCGCGCGAGCCGAGACCTCCGGGAACTCCAAACGAACACAAACATGGATGATCACCAAGTGTTCAAACGGTGACGTCCAAGTCTTGAGGACGGTCAAAAATGGGGTGTCTACAGTAAGCTTCTTAAAAATAAATAAATAAATAAATAAATTTAGACCAATAAAATATTAAGCATATAAATTATTTATACGTAAAGCCAGCCTATAAGTTGGATTAATTACAGACCGTTCTATCTTACGTACAGGTAAAAATGAAAAATTGATCTGGTATCCTCTTCATGGTGAATAGATACATAAGTTTGTGTGACCAAAGACGTAACCTCTTCATGTTTGGTGACGGGCTTTTAAGCAATAATTGACTTCAAATACATTTCAGACATTGTTGTGCGTGCTGGCCTAACTCCAAAGAACCGGGATGTCCAAATTCTTTGTTCCATGCTCACATACAAACAGATGAGGATATTTTTCATTGAAAAATGTTCTGTTTGTTTGGTGGTTCTTGCTCTTTCTATTTTTATTTTTTCCTTTTTTAATATTAAACCTAACTAATTCATGAGGCCTCTAGTTCATAAAACCCTGTAATATCCAAGTGTGCTTTCCTTTATAATATAAGATGCTAGAAATTAGATGCCTTGCCAAATTGACTGTATGGGTGGGCAAAACATTTTTCTTGTTAAAGCATAAAGAAGGACAATCTACCTCCAAAATAGCTACTTTCATGCCTGTTTATATTCCCCACTTTCCATTCTTTTTGTCCACTAATGCCTTTTGGCATATTCCAATATTGTTGTCCATTTTTAAAAGAAAGGTATTTTATTTTGCATTTTACAATATCATTATTTTTGGATGAGTATGAATGCATTTACCAAACCGAAACAAATTAAACCTTGTGTCTCAATCAAGTAGGGGTGGCTACATAATTTTTTTTTGGTGGTCATTTAGCTCTATCAAAGTTTGTATGTTCTGTTAAATTAAATAAATTTATATTTTCTTTGATTGTGGTGAGTATGCATCAGATGTCAGCTCAAGTCTTCCATGTTAAGTAGTTCTCTCTCTATTCCTACCATTTCATGAATATATTCATTTCTAATCTATCTTTTTTAGTTTTACCACAAATCTATCCAAAGCATTCTCATCTCCATTGCCCAAAACTTTCTTCTATCAAGCAGAATTGCTGGCCTTCTATTGAGTATGAATGCATTTAATAGAGTAAAATAGAGGGATGGTTTTGGAAATTCAGACTATATTAGTTGGTTATGAACACAGTCAATGCATATCCCCTTAAAAATGTAATCAGTGGCTTATTAAATACAGCCACATCACCCGCATGTTTTTGTGTGCACATGTAGATGCAACTTCTTCTTAAACACACTTTTATACTATTCTCAAGAAGTTAACAGAGACTGGTGGATGACTATGAATGTGCATTGCGACAATTGGGTCATTAATCATTACATTGGATTCCAACCTCAAGTATACAGTTGTTCCCTACTGAAACAGCGAAATGCAGAAATTGCTCTCTTCATTTTTACATTTTCAAAACTAGACTTTGTGAATGCTGTGCCCTCTTTCTATTGGCTTCTTGTGCATTGCTGATGTTGCGACTTTTTGACAATTTACTAGTTTTAAGTTTCACTTCACCAGTGTGAAAGATATTGTTTAATTGTCTTGGTTGGGTTAGTCTGTTCTCTATTGTCATTGCATGATTTGATATTTTGTGCGTGTACCACAGATTTTTACAGACACACCATCATGCTTAAATCTGAGATGTGGTTATCTTGTTAGTAAATATATGCACATGCACTTCTGTTGATTTGATATGGACTTCACTGACATTTAGAACCTGGAGTAATTGGAATTGATTGATATTTACTTCCATTTTGGGGAATCCTTTTTATTTTTAATCCTCCAGAATTTATCATTTCATGGTAATTTGATGACCAATATATTTACATTGCGCCATTTAATTTATCATGATTTTTTTTTTGATTGTTTAAAAGTCTCTTTGGTTGAGGTATTCACAGGTTTAGTCTTCTACGGTAGGAGATGAATATTTAAAGTGTATTATCATATGGAATTTCAGTAGGTTGGTTGTTACAGTACAATTTTGTTGTTGATGGAAACTTGAGGGTCCAATTGTCTTCTAATTTTGATTGTGATATCATTAAGCGACTTTTTCTTATCTTTTAACTGATTGACCTTTGAAATATAAAGGACGACGTTAAGTATATATACATATATGTATTTATATAGACATTGTAACTTACATTGGCATCTAATGTAGGTGCGTTTGATTGGGTATTGCGTAGAGGGCTCTCTTTTTCTAGTCTATGAATTTATCGAGAATGGCAATTTAGATTGAAGGCATTGTATGACAAATTTAATTCTAGAATTGAATATAAGACTCACCTTGTTTTTGTCTCATTGTTAAATTGTGAACAAATAATATTTCTATGTACTCTCAGCCTCAATTCATCATATTTACAAGTAGAAAGAGAACTTGTAATTTAAGTTGCCAATGATTGAGGAAAACATTGTTGGTAGAGCTAGCTATCTTCTGCTCTTCATGTTTATGCAATCTATAATTATTCTATTTGTCCCTAGGTATTTGTGCCAAATTTAATTGAATTAATTGATGCAGGTTTTGGTTGTAGGTGGTGGTGATGGTGGAGTTCTTAGGGAAATCTCTCGCCACAATACTATTATATAATTCCGAACGCCATAATTAAGTGATCCCATAGTTAAGCTTGAAGTTGCTCTTAAGGTAATTGAAACTCTTGTTGCAAATCACTGATCTGCCATAGAGATAGGTCATTGACATAGTTTTATTTTGATTATTTTAAGCTAAACTAACACATTTAAGCGCATTAAATTTTCAAATCAAGTTTGATATATGTTTTTGCAGATTTTGTTGAGGGAATAGTTGATATGATCAAGCGGTTGATGTTGGGAGCCAAAGATTATGTTGCTCCTCTTCTTCTTTTTTTTTTTTTTTTTTTTTTTGAGAAATGAGTTATAATTGATAATGTAAATAGAGTCTTAATGTTGCATTAATCTTCTTGGAAAAATTATGATGGCACAAAACAAAGACGTTGTTATTAATACTCCCTCCGTCCCAAAATAATGGTCCCTTTTGGGGAATCCAACTTTTTTTGGTAGTACAATTATTGCATTTGAAAAAAGTTAATTTTCCACTTTTCTAAATGTAGTGAAGCAAATGTGGGTGGGTACTCAAGTGGAGTTGAATTAACTTTTTAGTTTATTCATATGCATCAGCGGTTTCTGGATTAATTTGTGTTTTTATTTTTCAGGTCAGAAATTTTTTGGAGAGATGCAAAATATGGTCCAAGAATTAAAGAACTTAGTTTTTTTAAGTTTTTTCATTTTTTAATATATGTAAGAACAGTTAATTTTTTTTATTTAATTCTTTTGTATATACTTTTAATCACACTTCCAAAGGTCACACTTAAAAGGTGTGATCTAAATATTTTTAATCACACTTAAAAAGTGTGATTAAAAATGACCACTTTTAATCACACTCCCAAAGATCACACTTTAATAAAACTTAAAAGGTGTGATTAAATAACATACATCACACAAAAAAAGTGTGATCTTTATCTGTTTTTGTAGTAGTGGTGGTGGGTTTTAACTGGTTTTGGAAGGTGCAATTTGGTCAATTATTTTTTTATTTATTGTTTAAAAGTATTAAAATAAACTTTGAAGGATAAAATTTTTATTTTTATTTAAACTTTGATGACATTATTAATTTTTTTACATTTATCTAATATTGATTAACATAAGATTGTAAGTATACTATAATTAAGCTTTTAGCAAAATTTGTTATAATGATTTATATCAATCGTCTTTTTTTTTTTAAAATTATAAGCGTAGGTCCATAAAATATCAAAAAATGGTTCTTTCTATTTGGGACACCGTATGACACATATCATAAATCAATCACAAATCATTATGCCTTTTGTTGTCCCTTATCACCTAACAAAAAAATCATGGGATCTACAACAATGTAATAATGAATATTTCTGGAAACTCAACATCAATGTAATAATGAATATTCAACAGTTTGATTATTTAGAATTCAAGTTTGGAACTTTTGAAGTGAGATTAGTGGCAATGGCAATATGGTATGTTTGAGAATATTCTAGGTAAAATGAGGAAATAGGGTTAACCCTAATGAAATCCATAATCAATATGTTGTTCTAGAATTGGGTATTATGAATTTCTTTTGTATACATAAAATTGGTTTAAAGTTGTATGTAAATGCTAGGTTTTGTTTATGGTTAGTGATTGATTTGCAAAAGAAGCACATTTTGCCCCTGTTTTTATGATTTAATGATTTAATTCATAACTAAAGTTCCAGAAGTTTTGAGGAGTCTATTATGTCTTCCATTTGAAGTGGGGGAAAAAGAAAGAAAGAATATAAAGACTGAATGTAAAGAATGTAAAGATTTGATATTTAATTCATAACTAAAGTTCCAGAGAAAATGAAATTTTTTACTGTCATTGACGTTGGGTTTTATTTATTTGGGTTTTACTTCCCCCTTCCCCCTCTTCTATTTGGGTTTTATTTATTTTTTCTTTCTTCCTGTTTGGTCGCCGAGAAAGTAGCAGCAGAAGTAGAGAAAATGAAATTTTCGTTACTGTCATTTCTGGGTTTGACTAAAAGGTTTGTTAATTTTTTTTAATTGGGTTTTGTACTCAAGAACAAGTGTTGACGTTCTTAATTGTTACAGTGGACTGGAGATAAATTTAACTCTATTTAAATTCTGAATATTTTTCTAAATAAATCATATTTATGAAGAAAGAAATACCAGCTTCTTTTTTAAGTGTAACACATTAACCCCAATCATCTATTCAGGAGGGGTGTCTCTTAGGCTTAGATATGGATATCTCAAGGAGATGAAAAGAGTTTGAATTTATTGACTTTGTTCTTGGCTTTAAACAAGGTCCTTTGAAACTTCCACTAATTTCAACTTTAGCACCAAAGAAAACAAAATGACTACTCCAACTTTCAAAAGCTGTAATGTAACAATCACTGATTTGATATAGAAAACAGCAACCCTCCCAAGCTGTTTCCAACCCCACTTCTTTATCCCTTCTTTTCATTGCAATTAGAATTGAAACTTTGTCCATTTATTTTATTTAATGCCATTCTATATTTACCTCTATTTCACATGGCTCCATGTATCCCCTTGCACCCAACAATATCACTTCTTTTTTAATTGAAATCAGGAACTTGGAGTTAATCAATTTAATTTGTTTATATTAATGATGCCACAAGTCTTTATGGAGGAAGGTTAGTAATTGTAGGAACTATAGAAAGATACACTTGGTTATTTCGTTTCTAAATAGAAAATTATTAGATACTCTAGAAGTACCATGTAATATAGTTTCTTTTTTGCTTTCTACTACATCTTTCTTATAGGTTGAGGCTTTATTTATTTATTATATCTAATTTGCTCTTAATAAAAAGCTTTTCCTATAATTTACAGGTGGATGAGACTTAAACCCAGGTAAAACTCTATGCTTATTCATTTTCTCAAAATTTTCCCTTCGCATACTATTTTTGATTTGATTATATATAGGTTATAATCAAACTCTTATGTTTTTGTGTGTTGCGATTATATAGCATATTTTGTAATTTTGTCAGTAGAATGTTTGATAAAATACCTAAAATAAAGTCTCTTCTTTATTTCCTTCACTGTAGTTACCAAGTGGAAGTATAAGCTTGACTGCCTTCAGAGTTTTTGTGCTTTGAATTTGGTATGGTAACTCTCTCTATTTTATATCAAATAATACTTTCGTGAGATGCAGTTTGGCTTTACAATATTTATGGCAAATGATGCCATGGCTTTGACCCATTTTCATAATAGGATGGTGAAAGAATATGTCGTGGATGACTTTGAACATTTTAATTTGATCTTAATTTTGTTTTCTCCAATTGAACCCGTTGCTCCATAAATGTTTTGGTTAGCAGATTGGTTTTCCATTGTATATGGAATTTTAATGAGAATGTTGTGAGTGTGGGAAAAGGTCATTGGAGCTATTCCCTTCCCAAATTCGCATTTCATTTTTTATAATCTATTTTCAGCAATGGGGTATCTTTATAAAAATTCCATCCTTAAAGAAAAGGATGGTCGGGAAAGCTAATAATGTTCTGTTACGTATTTTTTGTATTCCTCCGATTGAAAATTAGGTCGTAGTGTGTGCCTCTACAGCTTGCTTCTACTCTATGACAAGTTTTTGATCGGTCATGCTAATTTGGGTCTGATGAAAATGAGCAACCTTGGTTGTGGTGATGAAGTTGATGTCATTACTAGGTTGTGAGCTACTTATCAATTACGACAGTTAGAAAAATTGGTGAGTACTCTATTAAATTTGGTAATTCTGTTAAACCCAGTGAAGGTTGACAAGTGCTACCGCTTGAGAAATCCCAATAATCAATGTTATCATTTTTTTTTTTTTTTTTTTTGGGTTTTTTTTCAGGCACGAGTTATAGGCTAGGAGAGCTTAGGCATCATTAGCTTTGCAGTTATTTTTGCCCTTTTGTTGATGAAGAAACTTATCTTCATTTGTCATTTTCAAATGTATGGAACTATGCAGTTCGTTTTCAAGTTTAAATTTAAAACTTTGTCATGTTTATATGTGAAAGTAATTTGTGAATATCCTAATACACTTTTTGAATATTTGTTTTGATAGTTAAAAGAAGTTTCTTTACCCATAAAGCGTCTTTTGACTATGTGTAGTAGTGTAAGCACATGCATTGCACGTCAATAAATTTATATTAGTGCAAAACTAGGAGTTTGAGGGCAAAATTTATACTATTTTTGGTTTTATCATTGCCAAATTTTGAAAGTGATTGACATTGTATAAAGTTAAAGATTATTTAGAGACAGATTGACGTTGTGTAAACTTATATAGATTTGGTTTGGTTTGGTTTGGTTTGGTTTGAGAGGTAGACATTTGGAGGTGTCTGTTATTTAGATTTTGATCAAGAACACCATTTTCGTATAGGCATGGGGTGCTCCAAAGGGAGAACACCATTTTGTTATTCCTCTTGTTTTGAAGTTGTATCTATAATAAATGGTATCTTCTTGCTCAAATGCATGCTATCTATTCATTTTGTGTGTCATGGGTAAACAGAATTTTAGGTATATTTGATTGTCAATTTTCCTAACTTAAGAGAGAATGATAAATGAAAATTATTATAAAAAAAAACATTATTTACACTGTGCCTTCAGGCACGGGCATACATTAGTTTATTAAGATTGCAGAACACTTGCTGGTGTGTTTTATTTGGTGTCCAGTAATTTTTATTATTATTATTGAATGTTAGCAAGTGTACAATAGCTTTGATTTGTATATTTTGTTTAGTGTTAATAATTTTTTTTGGCTTGCTCTTATATTTTGAACATTTTAAATCTTATATGTTTGTTTCTTAATTTGCATTAAGGTTAGTGGAGTTGTTATTTTATTTGAGTTCTGTAGAGCGTGTGATACAAGTATAATTATTACAAGTTCTTTAAGAAAAATAGTATTTCTTTATATTTTTTCAATATTTTTATCAAAAAATACTACAGACTCCATAAATTTTAACATGATACGTATAAATTATAATTATATTTTGATTACAATATTATTTACACCGTGCCTTTAGGTACGGGCATACGCTAGGTATTGTTTAATTTATTTTTGAAAATGTTATAAATAAAATATACTTTTTTTATTTAAATAATTTGTGTCAAATTTTTCCAATTTTTATTTTATTTTATTTAAGGGGTTTATATTTTATTTTGTTTTCCAATTTTTCTCTCCTTTATTTTTGAAGTGCATGATGGATCACACTATTTTATTTTATTTTTGTTTGTGTTTAATTTCCTTATATTGGGATTGAAGAGTTTCTTTGCACATTGATGTTCTGATTATTGGAATTGTTGGGCTTCAAGGTCGTTTCTTTGTTTCCAGAGTGGTATACTTCAATCACTAATTG